GTGTGATCGACATGGTAGTTAATAATAAGGTTGGCGATGTGACGTAAGACAATAAGGCTATATAAGAGTCAATTGTCTTGTAATAGTTCATTGTTTGTAGTAACGATGATGTAAGCGCACATAATTTTGCATAAATAAGAGGTTCGATCTTGCAATCGAATCTCAACTTCTACTTGTTCTTGAATAAAAACTAAAGCCTAACTAGTAACGCAGTGTCTCCTAATTGAGTAAAGGGTGAAATTGTTACGTAGTGAAGGGGCAAGGTGTAGATATTGGAACGAACATAGAGAAGCCGCGAGTGTATAACATAAAATATTAAGCCATTTGGGCAAGAATTTAGTATTAATACGATATTAATTAATCCCCACGACAAGGAAGAACCTGGGCAAGACAAAAGTAATCTCTCATTGGAATCACTACATTGGTAACGCCGTAAGAAACAAAAAGTGACAAACCATGGGAAGCAAAGACCTAACCGTACCTATATACCGTGGTGCTGAAGTCGACGACATAAAGAATTTTCTCTTTGATTTCGAAGGCTATGGAAAAGCCAAGAAGTACGATGAGGATACCCTATGTTGATAGTGCACATGCACATGCCGGAAAGTATGAGAGCGTGGGTTAGGGACCTAATACAATCCAAGAAGACTTGGAAAGATCTGAAAAAGGAGATCGTTGAGAAGATAAAGTCCGATAATGAGACCGAAGTAAAGATTAATCGATTAAAGCGTGTGAAACAAGATGAAAGAGAGTCAGTAAGGGAGTATACTAATCGTTATGAAGCCTATACTCAAGCCGTGAAGAGCCAACTTAGAAATGACGAGAAACGCGATTGGTATATCCGTGGTTTGAGGGATCCATATAGAACGAAGGTGGAGAATCGCTGCCCTAAAAATTATGATAAAGCAAAGAAAAAGGCATTAGAAATGGAAGAATATAATAGGGATAGAGCTCTCAGTGAACGTAAAGATTCGAACATACCTGACGAAACTCCTCAACCAAGTAAGGCAGATGTGGACCTCGATAGTATTGTGAACGGACTTGCAGCATTGAGTATAAACCGGGTGGAACGAGAAGAAAAGTTGAATCGATCCGATATCGAAAATATGATTCAAAGTGCGGTGGCGAAAACTGTGAAAGATCTAAATCGAAAGCAAAGTTATCAGAAACCTAACAAGCCCCGTACGTGTTTCCAGTGTGGACAAGAAGGCCATATCGTAAAGAATTGTCCGAATCGAAATAAAGGTGAAACCCAAACTAACCAGGGTATAACCTTCAATAACGCCGATGTACGTCTCGTAGAATTCACTGAAAAGCGTCCCACGAATGGAGCTGAATATTTGAGAGTGGAATTACTGGATAAAGATGAATGTGGTGACATTAGGGCGTTTGGTAAAAGAAAAAGAAACGACGATGCAATCGAAGTTGTAGAACCGACTGTAAAGAGAGGAAAAATCTAAGATTCAAGATCGACGAATGAAAAACCAAGTTCACGCGAAAACGTGATGTATATACCCTTCGCTGAACTGTCCGACGAACTCGATTTACTAAAGAAACTAGCAGATATGGAAGTGACTCTTACCCTTGGACAGCTGTTCAAGTGGTCACCTAAAGCACGTTCGGAGATAATGAAGGCCTTAACACGACGAAAAAGGGATAGTGCCGCCGATCAACATGTAAAAATTAGGATCGTAAGTGGCGTATTGCAAGACGATACACCGAAGCCGAATGAAGTCGTACCTGTATGGACGGTTAAAATTAATGGTGACTTAGTAAAAGCCCCGATTGATCCAGGTTCCCGCATAAACCTCATGTTGAAGAAGTACGCCGTAAAAAGAGGGTTAGAATGGAACCAAGCACGTGGTAAAGGTCGTATGGCCGATAATAGGGTTAGTCAGTTTGTGGGTCACATACCCAACGTTGAAGTCGAAATGGAAGGTGTTGTGGTACACCAAGACTTCTACGTAATGGAAACGGCCAGCTTTGATGTTTTGCTGGGTATGCCATGGAATGCAAGAGCACAATGCACCTTAGGATTTAAAGGAACTGAATACTGGTGCACCATCTCCTCTCCTACAAGATCCGCTTCTTTTGTGGTATCAACTGTACCTAGAAGCTGGATAGGTGAAATTCAAGCCGATTACGAAGACGACGCTGATAGTAACGATGAAAGTGACTATGAGGAAGATGTCGACGATATAATGGCAGTACGAAGAATGGATATGATCGAATTCGAAGAAATGAGCGATAATAATCGAGTCCTATCGATTATGGACAACGCGAAAAATAAGGACAATGTGGTGCAACGACAAGTCGAACCTATCGATTATGAAAGCTTGAATGGTTTGACGTTTGGTGGTTGGGTAAATTATTGGAATCGCGACGATGAAAGAGATGATGGTTCGATCGAAGGAAAGGACGCTCTTGTTGTATCGAGGTTAACGATGGAAAATAGTGCTTTGATCAACCTAGGGCCCAGGGTTCGAAATGAACCGATCAGGAGTATTGTAATTAAGCGGTTGATGACGAAAGTAGGTGACGTATTCGCGTATGAATTAAAGGACATTGGTAAAACGAATTTAGTCGAATACGAGGTTAGAACCGGTGACGCCATTGTACCTTCAATGCGACTACGACCGATTAGGATAAATAATCCCGAAACAAGGCAGATATTCGAAAACCACCTGAGGGAAATGATCGAATGTGGACTTTTGGAAAAAGGATCGGGCGAATACGCTTACCACTGCTTTCCTGTGCAGAAGAAAGAGGGTGGAACTGACAAAATAAGGGCCGTCGGTAATATGAAACCCCTTAACAAGTACATAATCAAGGATAGCTACTCGTTACCAGTGATCCGGGACATCTTGGAACAAGCGGCTGGACACGATTGGTATTCGTCGGTAGATGCGTTTAAAGGATACTGGCAAATAGGTATCCGGGAAAAAGACCGTGACAAAGTGGCTGTGACCACCTCTCTTGGAGTATTACGATACACAGTTATGTGTATGGGCCTAAAGAATGCAAGCGAAACCTTCCAAAGGTTAATGGATCGTTTGTTGGATAAAGAAAAGTGGAAGAACGTTGCTGCTGCGTATCAGGACGATGTTGGTGTATGGACGAACGGAAGCATGGAGGAACATTTAGAGACGTTCATTGAGTTAGCCGAGGTTTTTAAAAATGCCGGTCTGACATTCGCCGCGAAAAAGTGTTATATTCTGTATAATGAACTTGAAATGTATGGATACGTAGTTAGTAAGGAGGGTATTAAGGTAAATCCGAAAAGGATCGAAAAGATTCATGAATGGAAAGTACCCTGTAATGTAAATGAAGTAAGATCGTTTCATGGCGTGATGAATTATTATCGACGATTCGTTGAGAATTTTAGCAAGATAGCCAAGCCCTTGACCGATCTTACCAAGAAAGCAACGAAGTTTCAATGGGGACCTAAAGAAGACGGAGCATTTGAGTTACTAAAACGAAAATTAAGCGATGAGGTCGTTCTGAAAGCTCCAAATTGGCAAGCCGCCAAGGATGGACGAAGACCGTATCAAATGTATACCGACGCTTGTGATCACTCTGTAGGTGTTGTACTTGAACAAGAAGACGATGAAGGACGATTAAGACCCATCTCGTTCGATTCAAGAAAGTTGAACGAACACGAATTACATTACACTGTGACCGAAAAAGAATGCTTGGCGATTGTGTTCGGATGTCACGTGAATGAACGATATATCGGCGGAACCGTATTTGATGTATGGGTGGACCATCAGGCTCTGGAATGGTTGTTCAATAAAGTCGAATTAAAGGGTAGGCTAATGAGGTGGATTTTGCTGCTTCAATCGTTCGAATTTCGGGTTCGATATAAGTCGGGTAAGAAACATTGTAATGCTGATGGTATGTCGCGTTATCCCGACCCACCTTTCCAAGAAATTCCGACCGACGATGACTTCGTTGATGGACAATTGTATAGAGTAGGGTTGGAAAGTCAAAAAATAAGTGACTTGGTCTTGGTGAAGCATTATTTGCAACAAATGAGTTGGGAACCTCACGTGAAAGCACGAGACTTACCTCGTTTAAAAAGAAAATTAAAACGTTATTGTTTAATAGGTGATAACCTGTACTTAAGATCGAGAAAAGGAGCCCCGCCAAAACGTGTGATCTTGGATGACCGTGACAAATATGAAATTGTGAAGGCATGTCACGACGGATTAGCGAATGAAAGTGGTCATCGAGGAATCAATAGAACCCTGACCGCGGTGAAAATGAAGTATGTTTGGGGATCAGGAAATATGTACGATGATGTAAAGAGGATAGTGTCGAGTTGCGAACAATGTCAAAGGTGTGCCCCGAAACTCCCGCCAGAACCGATACATGTAACCGCGACAAGTTGGATTTTCGAAAAGGTCTATATAGATTGTGTTGGACCTCTACCCCGTACCGTAGCAAAGCACGAACACGTGGTGTTAGCGATTGAGGACTTGACCGGATATGTAGAAGGAAGAGCCTTAGTCAAAAAGAATGCTAAAAACATTGCCCAATTTATTTGGGAAGATATAATCTTGCGCCATGGATGTTTTACTGCGTTAGTATCAGATAGGGGAACCGAGTTTAAAAATACGATCATGGAGAAACTATCATCTAGGTTGAACGTGGATCAACGTTTTGTCGCCAGCTACCATCCTGAGGCAAACGGTCGTGCAGAGCGTGTGGTCCAAAAGTTCACCAGAATAATTCGAAAGCTGTGTGCAGAACGGCAAAATCGATGGCATGAATACGTACGAAGTGCGATTTGGGCTGTAAATACAACCGTTGGTGACTTGGGTTACTCCCCTTTTCGTTTGGTCTATGGAAGGGACGCAATAATGCCGATCGAGCTAGTAATGGAAAGCTATCACACGTACGTGATGAGAAGCCAATGGACGACTGATGAGTTACTCGAATACCGAACCCTGCAAATAAAAGGTTTGGCAAGTGATCTGGATAAAGCACGAACAAGTCGTGACGAATTGAAATGGCGATGGAAAGAGTTTCACGATCGATGGGCAAAGGAAAGAGAACCAATTGACATTGGTGACCTGGTATTGATCTATGACTCGACCCTGGATACATGTTCTAGGAAATTGGACTACCGATGGGTGGGACCCTATAGAGTAACCAAAATCGGAACACATGGACAGTTCTATGTTGAAGAAGTCGATGGATCGAAGTTGAAGGACCCGTTTACAAGAAATCGAGTCAAGAAATTAAAATTGGACGACTACGAACCTGACTGCGAAGGCGGAATGGTTGAAGACCGAATGAGTCAAGTGCATGAAGAACAATTGGACGACGAAGAATATGTTTCTTCGGAGGACAATCTATCTGATTTCTTACAAGATTGAAAAGAAAAAAAAAAAAAAAAAAAAAAAAAAAAAATGTATATATATTAATTAGTGTGAGTGTTAGTAATGCATTATGTTGGTATTGATGGTTGGTATGTAATTTGGAACATGAAGTAGGATTGCATAGGTTGAACTTCGGGACGAAGTCCTGGGGGGTCTAGCTCATGACGGGGAAATGATTGGTTGCACATGATTAACGGTAATTAGTGTGATCGACATGGTAGTTAATAATAAGGTTGGCGATGTGACGTAAGACAATAAGGCTATATAAGAGTCAATTGTCTTGTAATAGTTCATTGTTTGTAGTAACGATGATGTAAGCGCACATAATTTTGCATAAATAAGAGGTTCGATCTTGCAATCGAATCTCAACTTCTACTTGTTCTTGAATAAAAACTAAAGCCTAACTAGTAACGCAGTGTCTCCTAATTGAGTAAAGGGTGAAATTGTTACGTAGTGAAGGGGCAAGGTGTAGATATTGGAACGAACATAGAGAAGCCGCGAGTGTATAACATAAAATATTAAGCCATTTGGGCAAGAATTTAGTATTAATACGATATTAATTAATCCCCACGACACATAATACCAATAATATATAGTTATTGAGTTGATGATACGAACAATCACCATCAAAATACTGAAATAGCTCGAATTGCTGCCGGATAAAAACCTGTATTTAACAATCCAGCAGCCATTACAAAAACATTCCATAAAAGGTTAAAGCGACAAATCATTGATTATGCGTGAGAAAACTGATCTCCAAAATTAGTGTCATGAGAAAAATGTGATCTGTACATAAGATTTTGCTTTGCCATTAAAGCCATACACTTACGTTCCTGGTATAAATATTACGTATTCCAGTGCTTTTCATCATGTTTCATAGTCACATGGATATAATTTAAATTTAGAAATGATTGTCAAACTCCTTCGCTACGATTATTTATTATGGTCTTTGCCGATCAATGATTATCAATTAATTTGACCGATAAAAACTCCGATAAAAAAAAAATTTAAAATAAAAAAAGCGAAGCATATGAGTAAGTTTAAACAGAAAACCAATAAAAAAATATTAAAATGAAGTTTTTGTTCATATCGCATCGGACTTTTTTGCTAAAAAAACGTAATCATAGCTATAGCTATAGCATATTCAATTGCTAATATCATAATCATATTCAATCGCTAATATCATATTCAATTATCATATTCAATTATCTTACTATAAAAATGGACGGATGAGATTCTTCCTTTTTTGGAATTGCAAGGAAATTTTGACTGTATATCTCATGCACAACGACAACACTAGCTACCAAAAACTGAACGGTTTAATCTAAACTCAGTAAAAAATTGATTCAATCTTGTTCGCATATGAATATAACTATTACATACATGGAAAGATTGGGCTGCAAAATTGAATATCTTTAATTATACATAAACGTAATAAAAATGTAATAAAACTTACACTAATTAGAAATCGTATATTTTTTAGTCACTAAAATCGAGGATGCATTTTGCAAACCTAATTCCGAAAGTTCACCGATATGTTTACTGCG